CATGGCTGAGAATTAAGCCAGAAGGAGAGAATGCAGAAGGGAGTTGAAAGCCCGTGCTGAGACGCTGCGCCGGTTCCAGACCTCCGCCCCCCTCGCTCGAGTTTCCCTGCCCGCTAAGTTCCCGCAGGCCGGGACACCCACATAGCTGACCATGGCGCGAATCCCAGACCCAGTGGCTTGAAACTCATGCTGGGCGTGTGTGGGTGCATGCCCAATATCCTGGGAGGAGAACCGACAAGGGATTGAGACATGGTCATTCCCCTGGGGTGATTTCTCACTTTCCCTCTCACTGTCTCTGTCTCTCTCTGGTGAGCGCCTGCACCCTAAGGCAAAAACAAAAAAACTCAAAAAACTCTAAAAATTATGTTTATTTAACCTTGTTATTATTATTCAACTTGTTATAGGGTGTATGCTTTCACTAGACAGAGAGAGAGAAAGCAAGAAAGCAAGAGGCTAGATCTGGGCTCGAACTGCAGTTGGCCATGTGGAAGTCCAGTGCCTTAACCACCATGCTATCTGTTGGTCCCAGAAATTACAATTTTAAATAACAGCTTTATTATGCTAATAGATTATCCTTCCTCAGGAGAAAAGACCCACCAGAGAACAACCACTGAGTCTTCCTGATGCTTGCTAGTTGTGCTACTAGGATAAAGAAAATCTGGCTCTGTAGAACACACAGCATTTTTGTTTCAGAGTAGAGGAAATTGGCAAACAATGGCTGTGCCCTATGCTCTGTAGTGGTGAAGCACTGGTCCAACAAGTGCCCTCAGCAACATGAAATAGTGAGAAAAGTACCTATTGAATTCTTCTCCTACTGGATAAGAACATCTCTCAGCATAATGTTCAAAGTACCCGTGTTTCTTTTCCCTGAATATGTTAAGATATGAGATGAGCTAAAGGAAAAAGACGGCCAGTATTCGAGGAGAGTTTAGAGGATATGCTGGGTTGTGAATGGGGAGAATCTCATCATTAGATTCTCTAGTTGGCAAAACTTCTGAAAGTAAGTAAAAACCTGCAACCTGAATCAGATTCATGAAAAGTCCACAAAGTTTTTAGGGAATTGTATTGAAGCATTATGAGCTGGTGTAATATGGACTGGGCAGTGTAAAACGTAAAAAGACCCCTGAGCCTCCAATTTGCTAAGGCAGAAAGTAGGTTGAGAAAGTTGCTGAAAGGATGCATTCTTTTTTTTTTTTTTTTTTTTTTTTGAGGGGTTTTTG